CTTGTTGGGTGAGTCCTTTGCAGGTTTTGGGTGGATGCCAAGAACACAATGATGGGATTCAACAAACCTTAACATCGCCGGACCCAGGCTAACTCTGTGAATCTTGAAAAAACAAAAACAAAGCAAACAAAAAGCAACTACAAAAAGCAAAAACAACAACACAAAAATCCAAAAAGCAAAAAAAACATGAAAAAACACAAGACAAAATAACAGATCCAACAAGCGAAAGCAAGTTTCCGCTTTGTGTTTCGCTCTTTTGTTTGTTTGTTCGCCTTTTTTTGTGGTTTTCCCCTTGTTTTATTAGTGTTTGTTGTTAAAATCCCTCTTTTTTGCTTGCCCGCATTGTTTCTTGTTTTTTGCTTTTTGTTTCGCTGTTTTTTGGCTTTTTGCTTTTTCATGGTTTTGTTTTCGCTTGTTTTGTTTGCTTTTTGTTTTTTTCCTGTGCATTGTTTTCTTGTTTTGCTTTTTTGCTCGTTCTTCCTCCATGTTTTCTTTTTGCATTGTCATTGTTTTTTTTTGGCTGTGTGTTTTGTTTGATTGTTTTTTGCTTCTTGATTTGCTTTTGTGTTGCTTTTTGGATTTGTTTTTGCTTCTGCTGTTTGTAGTTGTTTTTTTTGGCTTTTCCTTTTTTGTTTCTTTGTCTGTTTGCTTCTTAACTTGCTTTTGTGTTGCTTTTTGGATTTGCTTTTTTTTGCATTTGCTTGTTCATTGTTTTTTTTTTCGCTTTTTGGATGTGTTTTTTGCTTTTGCTTTTTGTAGTTGATTTTTTGGTTAATTTTTTTCGTTGTTTTTTGCTTCTTAATTTGCTTTTGTGTTGCTTTTTGGATTTGCTTTTTGTTGCTTTTGCTTGTTCATGTTTTTTGCTTTTTGGATATGTGTTTTTGCTTTTGTTTTTTGTAGTTGCTGCTGTTTTGGTGTCTTCGGTTTCTGCTTCTTAATTAGCTTCTGTGTTGTTTTTTTGGATTTGCTTTTCTTGCTTTTGCTCGTTATTTTTGTTGCTTTTTTGGATACTTTTTTTGCTTTTGCTTTTTGTAATTGCTTTTTTTGCCTTTTTTTTTCGTTTGTTTGTTGTTTGCTTCTTAATTTGCTTTTGTGTTGCTTTTTGGATTTGTTGTTCTTGCTGTTGCTTGTTCATTTTTTTCTGTTTGAATTCTTTTTTTGCTTTTGTTTTTGTAGTTGCTTTTTTGGGGCTTTATTTTTTGCGTTTCTTTGTTGTTTGCTTCTTAATTTGCGTTTGTGTTGCTTTTTGGATTTGTTCTTTTTGTTTTTGCTTGATCATTTGTTTTTTTGCTTTTTGGATTCTTTTTTGCTTTTGTTTTTTGTAGTTGTTTTTTTTGCTTTTTCTTTTTTTGTTTCTTTGTTTTTTGCTTCTTAATTTGCTTTTGTGTTGCTTTTTCGATTTGCTTTTTTTGCTCTTGCTTGTTCATTTGTTTTGTTTTTTTTGCATTTTGGATTTGTTTTTTTGCTTTTGCTTTTTGTAGTCGCTTTTTTTGGCTTTTAATGTGTTTTGTTTAT